GCTTCTGTTGTTGACCTGAACCATAAAGTCAACATTTGTGATCATAATTCAACATTGAATTAACATCTTTTGCTAACAAGCCAACAGCGAAGCAGCTGTGTGTTTGGGACATCCCACTCATGTAAACGGTGGGGGTGGACCGCTCCACTCCTTGTAGTAAGTTGTAGATGTTTTTGTGTCAATATATCACACACAAACAGTCAGTGAAAATTGCTATGAACAAGTAAGAAAATGTACAGAAAGGAGTCACCACCCACTATTCTCTGCAGTGGTTAATTTAAATGTGATAACCCCCACTCAGTAATAAAATGCTCTGACCCAGAGCGCTGAGGAGAGGAGGGGAAGGGGTGCGGCAATACATCTGACATTGATTCAATATTGATCAGATGTTGATCAGACATCGGCATTTCAGTCATTAGATTTCAACCACAAAACAACATTGATTCAATGACACAGTTTCAACATTGGTTACTTGGCTAGAGGTGGATGGTTGTTTGATGGTTGATCCACCGTCATTTGTCGTCTTCAACCAAAAATCAACCATTAATCACACTTCGGCATTTCAGACATCAGATTTCAACCACAAAACAACGTTGATTCAATGTCACAGTTTCAACGGTTTGATTGGATGGTTGTTTGATGGTTGATCCACCGTCATTTGTCGACTTCAACCAAAAATCAACGATTCTAACTATTTTTCAACGTTGATTTAACATCGTGTGCTATCTGGGTAGCTCTTCCCTTACGAACTTGGCCACGCTACTTCCCGCTTGCTCTGCATTGTTGCCGATTGGTTACGTCATCAACAAGCATTATCATGTTTAGCTAGTACACTCCAGATCTCCATCATAAGCCAAATTTCTATCATTTTATATATATCACACATTCCTCCAATAGTGTCTTCACAGGTCTGCCTAAAAAATCAGACAACTGCAGTTGATCCAGAACTTTGCTGCTCGCATTCTCACTTAAACCAGGTAGATGGAGCACATCACCCCAGTTCTAAAGTCCTTCCTCGGGCTCCCTGGAGCTCAGAGAAGAGACTTTAAAATGTTGTTGTTAGTTTATAAATCACTGAATGGCTTAGCACCACAATACATTAAAGATCTGCTGCTGGTATCAACCTTCCAGACCTCTCAGGTCTTCTGGTTCTGGTCTGCTTTGAATCCCCAGAACCAAACATGGAGAAGTGGCATTCAGCTTCTATGCACCACAAATCTGGAACAAACTTCCAGAAAACACTGAGTGCCTTTAAATCTAGACTGTTTAGAGTTTCTTTTGAAACATCAATAATAAAACTTTAATCAACATTCTGATGTGTAATGACGGCACTTGACAAAATGTAATGTTTTAATTGTTGACTATGCATTGTTCTATGACTTTGTATTTTTATGTTTTTATGATGTAAAGCACTTTGAACTACCTTGTTGCTGAAATTTGTTTATATAAATAAACTTGAACTTATACTTCTCTACAAGCATTATCTTGTATCTGTAGACTTGCAGATTTGGGCCTCAGCAGGTATTTGTTTTAGAAGTTGGAGATAAAAAGGAAAGCCATGTTTTTTTTCCACTGACATTGAAGATTTTCAAAGCTTTTCCTCTGCTGGATCTGTCTTTTGCCTTTTTTGAGTTTTAAAGTTTTGATGTTCAGTGGTACTAAATCTGTTTGTGTCCAGTCTAGGATTTCCTTTGTTGCTGCTACAAAGTAAAAAAAAAAAAGAAGAAAATCTAATAAAACAAACATGTTACTTTTACTACACAGTACATATTTACTGCCAGACAACCTCAGAATAAAGTCTGTGATTCTCAACTAAAATCAGCATTTGTATTTTTTGTTTTAGAGTGGAGAGGTCCACAGACCAAGTCATTAAGCCAGTAAACGTGGAAGCCTTGTCTAAATGGGTGGGAAAGATCCCACCTGATGTGGTGAGGGACATGGCTGTCATCGCTCCCATGCTTTCCAGACTGGGCTATGACCCGCACGCCAACCCCCCCAACTACGGGCAGCCGGACCCCAGAGTATTGGACAACACCAGGAGGGTGAGTGCTAAGCTGTTGCTTTGAGAATAATTTACTGTCAATTTACTGTCAATTTAATCTGTTTTATGAAAGACAGATTAAATAGTTCACTAAAATTAAATCTTGCAGAATATTTTTAAGGTACCATTTAGCAAAGCAGCAATAAGAATGTTGTAGACAAGTTGTATTCTCAGGTTTTATAAAACTTTTATCTGTCTATCCGATTGTTGTCCTGTTGAATTTATTCATAAGAAAAGCTTTTAAATTTCATTTCTTAGCCTTTCTGCCATGAGTGACCATTGTATTAGGAGAGGCAATGTGCTATTATTTATTACATTGAGCATACCACCTAGGGCTATGTGATATAGCCTAATAATATGTTTTTCATACCAAATCTGCTAACCAGTTTTACTTAGATTTTTAACAATTATTTTCCTTTCTTAAAAAGAAATAACAAATGACAGAAACATATTTTCAAAAACTCATTTTTATTTCAATCATCTATTCTGGAAGTTGATCTGAATTTAAAGTCGGAAGAAAATACAAGGTGTAAAACAAGATGATAGGCACTGGGAAGGCTGATATCTCTCTGAAATACAACAACTTGAAGAGTGCATTGGTAAAAATAAAAAATCCAAAGTAAACTGTCTTAATAGGTTGATGAGGGTTCTATATTTATGTTTCTGTGCAAATTTTGACCCTTAAGTTTTGTCCAATTAGTTTGCCTAAAACCATCTCATGATTGACCTCTTTATTCAAACAGTTGAATTCTCCTCTTGGCTGTAGCAGTTTGGCTTGGTACAACTTTGCCACAAACCCGCGTTTTGAGATAAAAGAAGCATAGTTCTCCTTCCCCTCCTGTCCCATGCCTGGTGGTCAGGAGTTGGAGTAGCGAGCATTGCCATGGCGTCTGGTGAGCATTGATCGATAGTGTTATTCAGCTTTAGAAATGTGTGATGGAATGGGTCTGCTCTGCTCTGACTATTGGTGAAGGTATGGTGTTGAACTGATGACTGTGTCAGACTGACTGTAGTGCTGAGGAAGCAGGAGAAGCTAATGGCTGCTCTTGCTGCTCTCTGAGGACAGACAGGCTGCCTGTAACCAAGCTGCAGAATGCTGTCACCATAAAAGTCTACATCAGCACAGAATAAGAATCGTTAGATTTATCAGTAGTTTTGAAAAAAGTCACTAGAGGAGTCAGAAAAATCGATAAATATAGTAAAAAAGCACTGCTTTTTTCATCCTGATCACAGACCCATTCATCCCCTCCACTTACCCCCAAACTTGGTTGTGTCTCTAGGCTCCGCCCACTTTGCTGCAATTTTTCAATATTTAACAGTGGTGGGTTTAGCTTTCAGAGCACAGTTTGGTGGAAAGATGTTGGATCCTGGTTTGGCAGTCGGTCTTTTAGTTGTAAAGCAGTATAAATTGGAATGGAAATGATAGCTGCTGTTTGGTGGTTTATGACTCATGCTGCGTATTACCCGACTCAATTAGGCATTTCTTTTTCCTGAAACCGTAACGTTGGCTTTAAAAAAAAATTAAATAAATAACTGTCAGCCTTCTGTGTATTTCAAGAGAATCTTTCTCTGAAAGTTGTCAATCTTCAGAAAGTGAATGAATGAATCACTCTCCTTTACGCTGTTCACTCAGACACTGATGCATTTGAACTAAGTGAACTTTTAGTGACCTCTGTATTTCTGTGGGGAAGAGGAAGACAACACAAATCTTCCAGTTGATCTCTAACCTTGTCTGAACCTAAATTTGACATCATAATGTCACTATAACTTGATAATCTGTAAAAACAATCAAGCTCCTCTGCCTTTTCTCTGTAATCCTACTACTATCTGCAGACATATACCGCTTGGTCAGACACATCCAGTCACAGCTAGAGGTAGGGTCTTTGCGCTCAGTCAGGCTCATGTATGTGCTGCTCATTAAGCTTGTGGTGAAGAAGCATATTATCGTTGTTGTAAACAGAAGAACTGTTTACCTGATGTTATCTGTGGCCATGCTAACTAGCCTTAGCATTTACCGTAGGCTCCAGTGTGGGGAACTAGTTGTAGTGAAGCAGAGATGAGGGGGATTGGTTGACAGTGTTAAAACCTTCTCCCCGTTTGTGATTGGTTGTTTCTGACTGAGCTATGTTTTGACATTGACAGTTGTAACAAATATGTAAAAAAAAAGCATAGTTTTTATAAAAGTTACATACTGCAGCTTTAAGAAAACAGACTGCTGTTTCCATTGAGTGCAACACCAGTCAGTAAAGTCTTACTAGTAAAATGGTGCAGAATTAGAGCCACTGCATAGACTGGAAATGTGGAAAATGCAGGACTCTGTTCCTTTAAGATACTTTTGATAATCAGCTCTGTAAGAAGTGAAACTCAGAATTTCACTGCTACACAAACACACAGTGTCTTCCCAGTGACTGTTTTTCATAGTTTTACCTCTCCCCCACTGGAGCACTGTCCAAACATTTTTGGCTGATTTTCTTTACTCCCAGGTAGGAACTCCAGAACTCTCTCCAGATATCTGGATTTAGTCCTCCTGTCTGTGTAGCCAAGGAGTTTTTTATGTTCCACATTACTCATTTTCCCCAGCAAACATGACAGACAAGATGTCTTAGTTCTCAATGATATCACCTCAATAAAAGCCGATGCCCAGTGTGTGAACCTTGAAGTATGTGTTTATCCTCTGTTCAGCCAGCGCTGTAACTTTATCTTATTGAGTTCAGGGATGCTGCTAAAGTCTGTTCTGTGTGAACCGGTTTCACAGTTCACAGCTACAGGGTCATGGTGTTCCATTACTCTACATGTTCCTTATGTTATTTCAGAGAAATAAATCAATAAGCTAAACAGGGGAAATTCTTGGCCTTATGCACTCACATCAAGGGATTTCAAAAACACTGGTTTTAGTGGCAGTTTCAGTTTCTACACTTTAAAATGGGTAGTGTTTTTAGTATTTAAGAACAGATGTCAGCTATATCTAGAGAATTTCTTTCTACTTATGATTTCATCATGAGCTGGTAATAACGCTGCCATTCAGAAGTGAACTTGCCTTATGCTTTGGGTTATTGCCCTGCTGTGTAAACCAAATAATCTGAAGCAAACCTAGCTGACATTCTACTTCAGAATTTCCTCCTAGAGATCAGAAGATATGATTCCATCCATTACAACATGTTATCCAGGTGCTACATCAAAATGTAGATAGGATATATTCTTTTTCTCAAATGCTATCTTAGTTTTACAGCAGATGTAGCAGGATACACACTTTCTGTCAAGGTGTATCATCAATCCACAGAATATTTTCCGAAGTCTTGGAGATCTTTTTGATATTTTTTTTTTTTATCTTTTGCTTGCCTTTTTGTTCAGCTGTGTCTTTTGTCTAGGAAACTCTTCCATGGAATAGTTCTTTAGCAACTAGTTGCCTTAGTTGATGTAGGACCTAAATCACCTGCAGTGTTTATAGGTCCTATTCACACAGGGCTGATTTTCAGTGAAACTATAACATTTTAGTTGCAATCCATTTGCTTGGTTACACCACTTCAGTGATTAGAGTCTCTGACACTGGCACTCTGGAAACCAGGTCTCAGAGTGAAACCTTTCTGGAAGTACTCCACAAGTGTGAGAGCGCACATGTGCAGAATGCATGGCTGTAGGGTTTATTCAACACATGCACATGCAGATAATAAAAAAAATAAAAAAATAAAAATAGTGGCTTCATTAATTTGTTTGATTTAACACAACTTCTGATACAGAAAATATGAGTTTCATGAGTACTTGGTTTATTGGTGATGGAGGAGCACTTTTGCAGATACTGAACACAGACCCATGAGGCATTAAGAATTGCTACGACATGTTAAACTTACAGCACCATATAGTGGCCTGGCATGACAAATACAGTGGATTCTAAACGTCATCTAAATGTGGAACTTATCCCCAGTCAACATCCCTTCATGGGACCAGCCTAACTGGCACAGCAACGACAGAAATAACTGCTACATGTCAATGACTTTCTCATTTGTTTATTAATTTCCTTAGGTCACATCATGATGTTTTGCTTTTGGAGATCTTCCGACCTACTTCATGTTATCAGATTCGATTGAAGTGGTTTGATAATTTTTACAAGAACAGTAGTCCTTTTTTTCATAGGACCAGGTTTATATGAATAGCTTTTTCCTCTAATAGATACAATCTTCCTTGCAGATCATTTTGATTCAGCAAGGATGTTCCTGCACAGCATTTTCTTACTCCCTACAGAAGCAGCACAGTCTCACTGGCCTTATGAAACAGACAATTTTAAATCATGAGAGAGGAGTAAAACATCTAAGGGCCAGATTCTCCGCTCTCAGTAGAGCTTAATAAGCCACAGCAGAGTATTAACTGTAGGGGAAGGACTTTATGCCACATAACAGTGGTCTATTCTTTGTTTTTTTGTACTGAAGAGGAATCCTTACATCTGATTTTACAGTTGCATGCCCTTAAAGTGGTGGTTTTGGTATCTGCTACCCAGCTACGGTGAGGTTAATTTTTTCCATTATGGTAGAGCCATCCTAATGACTCTCTTACTGGGGTTTTGATTGCTTTTCCATTTGTTTGGAGGAGTCCTAGAGAAGAAGGGTGAACACTCCAGAAATTAAAGAAACACTCAACTTAATGGAATTTTTCTTAGCAGTGACTTCAATGGAAAGTATGTGGAATTTAAAGAAGCAGGAGGAATCTTTTGTTTCTTTAGTTTACATTTTAGAGAAAATGTCTGACCACAAAAAATGGAGGAAGCTGTAACAAACCCTCTGCTATACTCCAGGGAGCAGAGATGTTCTGAATGCCTTTTCTCTTGGTTGGTTCCAATGTAAATATATCTACAACTTTAGATTCAAGTTAAATTAAAACTACCAAAAAGCTTCCACTTTTTCCTGTATTTTGTTTTATTGAAAACCTAGATTTTGCCAAACACAGGCTTTCTTTATTGTAGAAAAAGGGTTGTTTTGTTGTTGTTTTTTTTCTTTAAAACATGAGCAGTTAAAAAATTGGATCACCAGTTTAAGTGACAGCTGGTTCATTCATGAAAAACCTTTGTTTTGATTTTACTGAGCGGTACAGTAAAACTTCCCGCTAAATGGAAAAGTTAAGAACATTACAGAATTTTCCAGATTTGGATAAGTATGAGAAGAGAAAATTGTTCAGGAAATGCAGGAAAATGTTGTCTCTTTTCTATTAATAATGGCATTTATAGAGTTTAATGACGCCTCAGTGACGATGCTTCCCACAACAGGTCAGCCATAAAACTTAAATGTTGTCTTCTTGTTTGAACTCCAAAGCTGCCACTGTGACTTTACTGGCATCTTCACTAATGTACC